GACATGTTCGTACGAACCCTTTGTACGAACAAAAGTAAGAGAAATTTAGGATGAGAATACGAACATGTTCTTGCATGAGGCCCAATGTGAGTAAAGAGATGAAGAAGCAATATCAGCTTAAAAAATTGTAAGCACGTATTGGGAATCGGTTAGACCGATTTCAAAATAATCGGTATCGGCAGATTTCTAATAGTATTTACCTAATTTCCCTCTGGGATCAATAAAGTATTTTTGAATTGAATTTGAATTTCTGTATTTTATATTAATTTGACTTACATTTGAACATTTCTGTGTTTCTTTGTTGTTTTATCTGCTCATTTGGCTGAATTGTGAAGCACTTTGGTTAACTTCTGTTGTTTTCATGTGCTAAAATTGTTTCCTTTTTCTTTTCTTTTGGTCACCAGCAGGAGCCATCAGCAGTTTGTATGACCTGCTTTAAAAGTCATTAGAGTTTGGTTTTGTGTCTGTTGTACCTCATGAATGCTGTCTTGCCAGCCCAGCAGAATCTGATCTGGACCCCTCTGAGTTACAGTTCTCCTTTCAGGTCCACTTTCTGTCACAGTCCCAATGGGTTCTGCAGGAGGGAAGAGGCGAACCCAGAAATCCACAACACCGAAGATGTCGCCCTCATGACCTACAAAAGAAGATAATTAGTTTTTTATCAGAAAATGTCAGTGGACCATCAAACGGACTGCACTCACCTGTGATCCTGACCCCTCCACCGACTCGCTCTCCTCTCCTCTCCATGGCGTCCATGAGTGACATGTGCCCACTTCCGTGGGTGACAAACCGGACTCCCCCCAACGCCTGGTGGAGCTCTACTCGCACTCTTGAGCCCTGACCCCCGAGCCTGCCCAGATCGCGGGCTGTCAGAGCGTAGCGGGACGTGAAGCTGTAGTTTGGTTGACTTCCTGACACCAGAGGAGTGGAGTGCATCTCAAAGTCCAGCAGGCAGTAGGTGCAGAAGGTCACGATGTTCTCATATTTGTCTGCTCCTGGATGGATGTTACTCATGACCCGAAGCCCGGTGGGGGTGAAGGTGGCGGCCTGGAGGTACAAAACCAACATCTGGAGCCTCATGTACAAAGACTTGCGTGGATTTCTTACTGAAACCTGACGTACGGTCAAATCCAGAAAACTGCGTACGCACAAAAAATCCAGATGTATCAAACTGTGCGTACGCCTGAATCCATGCACTTTGCTTTTGTACATCACAATTAACGTGGAACTGAGCGCAGGTAAGACACTCACCTGACACGCCTTAATTAACATATGTTAAACAGATCACAGGACATGTTTGTTTGATCGCTGCGCAATCATAAATGATTTCTAATATCACAAAATAAGGAATTTAATATAAAGTGATTGAGAAAAAAACCCAAGTAAAAATAGGAATAAAATATGTTTATCACGCAAAGAACGAGTGATTGTGTGTCGGTGTGTGTGTGTGCGCGCACGCTGCTGTGTTGCGCAACCAGCTCATCCATCCATTCTGAGTCTGAAAATATTAACTTTGTGCACGAGTTTATTACCATAATTACTGTAAACACAGAGGAACTTAAATGTTTGGTAGAACTTAGATCTTAGTTTATTTCATAGCTGATATGAAGAAATGAATCTCTGCACCTCAGTAGAGTTCACATGATGTGACGTGATGTTGGAGAGTCCCCACATGTGCACGCCGCAGCCTTTGTGCACTGTCTGTCTGTCTGTCTGTCTGTCTGTCTGTCTGTCTGTCTGTCAAGCTTTTGCTCTCCTACTTACAGCATTTTCACAAGTTGTAAAGTGTACTTCCATGTGTCATTTTGGAGAAATCTACAACAACGTAAACGCAAAGTATGAAACACCTCCACTGCCGGCGAGGGTGCACGCTCCAAAGTGCGACCATAACTCAGCCTTTAGAATCAGATGGATGATACGCTTCCATTGGGCATGACTCTGCTTTGGGTGGACTGGACTGACACAGTCCTGATGGGTCTGCCAGCTCCCTCTGGAAAGCTCCTGTGGAACCCCAGTTCAATCGCTGCTGCTGCACGTGCACACGTGGCGCACGCGGCTACTCGCTGTGTTGCGCTCACAGAGCGCAGCAGTGCCAAATTTAAAAATGATTTTTCCTCAAAACAGCTGAGGAGCCACTCGTCATCATAAATTTCTATCTGTTTATAAATAAATGCTCTGTGTTTTTCACTATTTATTATATCCTCCAGTAAGTCTGAATCCGTTCCTGTTAAATGTGTTTTTGGCCCAACTTTGCACGTCCTTTATTTAACTACGTCCATGTGGATGTAATAATTGTTAATCATGTGGATGTAAGAATTGGTAAATCATGTATGTCTGGTGTGAACAATAATCATTTTCACATCATGAACAGTTTCTCAGAATCACCTCTAAGTGTCTCCATTGGAACCAAAACCACAGAAACGTGGTACGCCAGCCCTGGAGTTGGCGTGGGGCTGCGCACATTTTCACTTTCAGTTGAGTTTTGATACATCCGGAGTTTTGCGTGGAAAATGGCGTACGCAAGGTTTTTGTGCGTACGCACCGTTGATACATGAGGCCCCAGCTCTCTGAGTAAGCTGGTTTGATTTATTTAGGGTGTTTTTACCTTCAGGTGGATCTCCAGCAGTGACTCTCCAGTCTTTAGCTGAGAGAAACACAGATCTTCCTCGAAGGGCTGGACCACCTCCTGGTCTCCTGCTGGCCAGGTGTACTGAATCGGTATGGTTCGCTTGTAGTTCCTGGGCCTGTATGCCAACTCTTTTAACTGAGCTTTAGACACAGATACAGATGTAGAGGGTTCAGGTTTTATACGTTGGGTTGTTTTCATTCAACAGATGTAAATATACCTTGTAAAGTGTTGATCTGAAGAGCTCTTTTAGATAAAAGTTTGTCTTTTCCCACCATCCTTCTCTTGTTTTCCTCTTGGTCTTTTTTCACCTTTTGGTTGAGTGTATTTAGCTCCTCCTTAGGGAGAAAAAGAAAAATTTTAAGACATTTTTAGAGGGAAAAATTGAGCTCAAAGCTTTTATTTGATTTCTGTGAAAGGGAAAATATCAGACTTTTGAAAATGCGAAATAGGAGCTCGACAAAGATTAATTTCTAAGACGATTGATTTGTATATTAAAGTAGATACCCTGCTTCTAAATCCTTCTTTTCTGCTTTTAAATCCTTCAGTTGGGATCTATATAAAGTGGAACTGCAAAGCTTTGGACTGGATTCCTCCTTATTGTAACTCCAAAGCCCCGCCCCTTTTTGGGGTGTGTCTCAGGCCAACTCATTTTGAGGCTGTCTCTTTAAATCCAAACTTTATGAAGTGGAACTGCAATGCTTTGGTCTGGATTTCTCCTTATTGTAACTCTACAAGCCCCGCCCCTTTTCTGGGGTGTGTCTCAGATCAACTCGTTTTGAGGCTGTCTTTCTAAATTCAAACTGTATGCTTCATGCCCCGCCCCCTTCAGCTTCCAGACTGGTCCATTGTAGCCTGAAAGAGGGACTTTTTATTTATAGATGAATTAAAAGATATCAACAAGGGAAGACTTGTCCATCCAGCCTTACATGTTGGAGCCAGTCTGACCCAGAGCCAGAGAAGAATGAAGACAATGACTTTGTAGTTGAGTCCAGACCTTATTTAGAAGTTCCGTTGTAAATATTGTGATGTGATAGTTCAAAACAGGAAATAGAAAAAACTAAAAAACAGAATATAAAAGGTATCTATGTAGCACCAGGAGAGACTAAATTCAAATAGTCTGCACTCCTAGAGACTCAAAGTACACAACAAAATGTATTTAACGGCTAAAAAAGTAGACTTTGCACAATATATTCCCTTTAAGGGTGCAAAAAAAGATAAAATATTAAATAATTGTTTGCACTGAAAGCGTGTACCTGCAGGTCTGTGGTGATTTTGTGCTCCAGCAGCAGCAGGTTTCTGGTTTTCTGTAGCTCAAGCGCAGTCTCAGCATAAGAAGCCTGGAGTTTTACGAGCTCACGGCTTGACTCTTCCACCTTCTCATCAGACACGAGGAAGCTCAGGCCCTCCCTGCCCTCCTGCTGCATCCTAAAGGCCTGTTAACGTAGGAGGGGGTGTGGGGTGGCGTCAAGTTTAAAGCGATAACTCTTCACGTCTGTTTAGTTAAATGAATAGAAACGGTGCAAACCTTAATCTGCAGAAGAGTTTCGCTGAGCTCTTCGATGCTCATGTCGAACTCCTGGAAGAGGACAGAAACGTGTCACAATCTGTGATTTAACCAATAAAATTATGAGATTTTACTTTTTCCAACCTTAGGAATAGAATCGAGTCTGTCCTGCAGAGTAAAGACCTGCTGTTTGTACTGGAGCACTTCTTGTTCCAGATGCTTCTGCCTCTCTTTCATCAACACACACAACCCGATAAATGTGATCAAATGTTTCTGCGTGAGGCCTCAGATGTTTCTGTCAAGTCGTAAAAACTCTAATTAATCAAAATGAAATCATTCACCTTCCTCACGTCCTCTCTGCTCCTCGAGCGCCTTCTTATCCTGTCTCAGTTTCTCCTTCTCCAGCTCCAGCTTGCTCCTCTCCTCCCTCTCTGCTTGCAGCATCTCCTGCAGTCTCTGAACGTCCTCCCTGCAGATGCTCTCCACCAGCTTCTCCTTCTTCTGCTCCACAACTCTGAGCATTTCCGCCTGCTTTTCATCGTTGCTTTGACCAGATAAAGTACTAAAAAAACAGACAATTTCAAACAGGAAGTCACATTCATAGAAAACATTTCATAGTTGAAAGGCAGTTTTGGACGACATCATCTTCATTTGGTACCCAAGAACTTCTTAGGAAGAGTCTCACCAGGATGCAACTGCTACAAAATTACGAATAAAATATGCAGCTTGGAATCACCCTGAATTATTAATAATAATAATAATAATAATAATAATAATAATAATAATAAAGCGCTTTCAAACAAAGTGCTGAACAATTACAAAGACGTAAAACCAAAAGAAAAGGCTATAGGAACAGACACATCACCAAAAAATAAAAAGCAATAAATATGCTACTTATACGTATATATTCATTATTATACTTGTGATTTTTTCACACAAATTCCCAGCAAATACAGTATCAAAATTCACTAGGTGCTTAAACATATTCAGCAAATAAGCAAAAAAGAGTTTAGTGGAACACAAATATGGTTTAAAGTCCTCCACATAATTCATCTTCTTAAATGTCAAGAGCTTTTTTGTTTAATTATTTTTGTTTTGTTTTTTTAAACCCAGGGGTGGAGCTAGACTTTTTGCAAGAGGTGGCCCAGGTGTTTTTCAGGGGACACATACAAATAAAGAAAAGCACTCTGGTTTTAAAAATTGAAAATGGCCACCACAGCTAATTCTAAATCTGTTAGAAATTTTGGTAAGCTTAGTAAGTAAGGAAAAAAAAGAAATATTAGTAAGCTAAAGTGTTATGATCTAATAACATGCTGAATGCTAACCATATCTTATCATTCAGCCATATTTTGACGTGAAAAGCTTAAGAGTAGAAGCAGCTGAAAGCAATTTTTACCAAATTCTAAATGCTAATCAAAAATTCAAAATGGCCACCACAGCTACCGTATTTTTCGGACTATAAGCCGCGACTTTTTTCCTGAACTTTGAACCATGCGGCTTATAGTCCGGTGCGGCTTATATATGGATTTTTTCTTCAGCCACCAGGAGGCTCTTATGCTCCATTTGCTTCAACCACTCGCTTCAAAAAAAAGAAAGGGGAAAAAAAAAAGAAAAAAGCAATCGCTTCCGGAGCCGACTATTGTACCAGGAAGCAGCGATTTAAAGATAGTCACTGGCCAAGAACTCATAAAAGGGGATAAAACAGACATTTTTCACGGTGGAATCTGACTGATAAAAACTTTGGAGCTTAATCCAGGACCAGTTTGTGGATAAACGCCGAGTGAAGAGCTGCAGACTTTTTTTTTCCTCATTGCTCTCCCCGGGGAAGGAATCCCATGCAGTTACGTATGCTGGAGCGGGAGGTCTTTCCCACCACAGCTTCAGAGCCAGCATTACCCCGGGAGGACAGCGACACAGAAAGCAACATTGAACAGATACCGCTGTGTGACGCAGCTTTTCTCAGCTTGTTTAACTCTGACACTGAATATGACTTCGATGTTTTCAGTGCGCTGGAGGAAGATGAATGAGACATTTTGTTGGGCCAGAAACTGTTAAAGAAAACTACCAAAATAAGGTCAGTTAAATGAACCGTATTCCTCCGAACTTTAATTCCTAAAGGTTTGCTTTTTATGTTTTGATGTTAAATTCACTTTTTTGACAGCAAATTTGGGTGTACTGTTTTTTTTAATTTTTATGTTGGGGTTGCGGTTTATAGTCCGGTGCGGCTTATAGTCTGAAAAATATGGTAAGTATAAAAGTGTATGATTAAGACATTTTAAAACTTATTGAGATGAAATTAGTTGTGCTGTAGCTATGAAGGATCATTGCTGATGCTAATCCCAAATTAAGCTAACCACTAATGCGAATGCTAATTTTACGAAGGGCTATAATTCAGCCATTTTTAAACATGAATAGAAAATAATAGTATAGTAGTATCAGAGAACAATCCTTAACAAAATCCAAGAATCCCATCCATTTGTTAGTTATTTGGGGGTGGCCAATCATGTGCCAGTGGTGGCGCCTGCCCTCCCGGCCACCCCTCTGGCTCCGCCCCTGCTCAAACCGTACCTTATCAGTAGAGTGTCATAGTTTTCTTTTATAAGATCTCTCTCCCCCTCCAGGTCTGATATCCTCTCTTGGAACTAAAAGAGAAAAAGATGATTAAAAAATTAAACCTAAAAGCATCACAAGTCATTTCACAGCTTTTATAATAATTTTTTTTTATTTTTGTCTATTTTAAAGGTTTTGTAACCCTGATATAAACCAGATGTTTTGCCTTGTCTAGGGTCTGTAGAGACAGAGTCATGGTGGTCAGCTGTCCATCCAGCGTCAGAGCTTTCTGTCTTTCCTGCTTCAGCTGCTCCGTCAGCTCCTCCACTTTCTCCAGCAGAGCTCCTTGACTCTCCGTCAGCGACAGCTGAGTCTGAACAGAAGACACAGATCGTGACTAACCTGAGCACAAAATCATCAGGTGGAGCCTGAAGCATTAGATTAGAATTTATCCTCACCTCCTCAAGCTGCTTCTCAAACGCCTGAGGAAAGACAGCCGAGCGTGCAGTTAGATAAAAATATTAAAGTGCTGTAATTCTGCAGGATCATAACAGAAACTGACCTCCTGCAGGTTGATTAACTTCTCTTCACTGACTCTAAGAGCTGCACTTTTTTCTGACAGCTGCTTTTGTAGACGGATCAGATCCACGTTCTCTCTGATTGTTGTTCTGTCAAACATAAAAGACACTTTATTTCAGTTATCAGTGCAACAACTTATATATTTAAAAACATTACTAAGTTGAATTTATTGGGAAAGTATGATGCTGAAAATATCATGGGTTATTATCATTTTTTTTGGTTTTATTTTCACAAATATGGAGGTCAATAAAGTTTAAGGGTACAACTTTACAATAAGCCTCCCCTTATAGATAGCTTATAAATAGTTTGTACTGCATTATACATATCCACAATAATTAACTATTATTACAGACATTTATACACGTTTATTAGTCATTACTAGAGTACTGTTTTACACTTTACAACAAGGCTGCCTTTAATAGTTGTGGATATGTATAATGCAGTAATAACATTATATGTAAAACATGTGTATCCAATACATTATTGTGCTTACAAGGTAGAAACCTAGTCTGGAATGTTTATTGTAACATTTAAGGACAGATTCATTTGTCTCACTGTTTGGCACTCTGCAAAAAACGTCCACCTAACCAAGTTTTAAAATCTTATATCAGCCAAAAAGTCTTTTTGATCTTGTTTTGAGACTGATTTACTAAACAAGAACTGATTGTGTAAGAATAATAATCTTGTTTTCAGAACGTGTAAGATTATTTGTCTTATTAGTCTGAAAATTAGACTCAAATTAAGTCAAAATATCTGCCAGTGGAGTAAGAAAATTTTACTTGGT